AAACGAAGACGCTGAAGGGGATCTGAAACCAACCATTGAGAGTAGAGCCCCTCCAAGGTCACGCTCCATCATTCCTCCGCCGACATGCTCATGTCCGCTGAATCGTGGCCAGCCAATCACCGAAGGACAGTGCATTGGCGTCCGGAGGAAGGAGGGGCACTTGCACGCTGGAAAAGCCTCATTTACCGGCTCCTCGCTGCTGCCATAATGCATGGGAACACCACCAGCTAGACCAGCTCCATGGGATACGGCCAGGTACTTGTACGGGTCCAGAACAAGAAACACCACTTGTAGTCATCGATGAGGTCGGGGCTGCCTGTGTTCCATTACCTGGAGGTTGCCGTGGTCCCCCAGATTCTGGCACCTGCTGCTTCCCATCCCCTTGTGTTGCGCCACCGATCTCCGCGGCCGACTTGAACGAAGCGTCAGAGGGCGGATTGCCACCTCCCAGCAGCTGTCAAACACCATCAGCAAAACGCTGCTCGGCATCACTAGTTCAACAGTCTCCCCAGCTTCTTTGGTTCATCGACTGCTTGATCTTCTCGGCAGACCAAGGGTTGATGTGAGGCGATTGCTGCCTCGACATAGCACCTGAAGCCACCAATTCACGTCCATGTTGACCTTCACATTGTTCAGGAACGGGGTCCGGAACACGGCAAGGACGAAGAGCTTGCTCAGGCTCAGGTCCCCCACGTTGGCGGTCTTGTTCACCCGCAGATAGTGCCGCTCTTGAAGTCGGAGCCACTTCTACCAAGTGTCCTCCTTCACGTTCGCGACGTCCTGGGAAGATGAGTAATTGACCTGAAACCTCTGTCGGCCCGGATGGAAGACCGCCGGATAGCCCTGCAAATATGGGCCTTGCAACACCGCCCGCCAGGTAGTTGGTCTCGAAGCTGACCCTGCATCACATCCACGGCTACCCGGCGGTGGTTCCAACTGAAGCTGGCCCCCATCCGTTCCCGCTGCTCGAGGCTCTGTCCTTGCCCCCGCTGGTGTCCCCTCGGTTGCAGTCTGCCTTGTGCTCTTCACCAGTGCCGATCTCCTCGCGCTTGGTTCCGCGCTCTGGGTGCGTCTCGCTGGCGTTTGCTGGGCCAGCAATTCATCCAGCCTTTCATCGGCTGTTTGTTGCCTCTCCTTGGACGCGGATCGTCGCCGGCTCAACATGGATGTCATGGCACCTCAGAACCGCTTGGGCTCATAACCCATTCACGGAAAGCGCTTCTTTTCACTTGAGCCAAATGTTCAGGCGTTTCGGCCTGTGGTCCAGTGCACCTAGTGTACACTTCTCGTTTTGTGCGTCCTGTTTCAAGATCCGCAGATTCATTTTGATTATTTCGTCCGTCCCTCCCCCACAGACGCGGCACATCGCCCCCGGCTTTCGTGGACTCTACCCCGGCTTAAGGGTCCGGGACTGGCACGACGGAGAATCGCCGTGTGCCATGGGTCCAGCCTGACGCGCAGATCGTCTCCGTTCCAAAAAAAGAGGAAGGCGCCGGAGGACGTGGCGGGAGACGCAGCACGCGCGGAGACCACGATGAGCTCGGAGCTCGAGTTCATTGCAGAGCCTATAGGAATTTGGTGATTGCGGAAATTTATAGCATCTTGCTTTCCAATTTCCACCAACTGTGGGTCCAACCTGAGTAAATATAAAGAGGCAATTCAATGATTCATCCCCAGCTTAAGCTGCAACACACACAAACACACACCTGAGATCCTTTGTTTTGAGCGCTTCTTTCTGAGACTAGAGTTGAACTGCTGGGTGACCTGTTGAAACAGCTGGTTGAAACCATCGCAAGTTGATGCAATTGAACTGCGATGCTGTCAGAGGTGGTATCGAAACAGTCATGCTGAGTCATGTTGTGCAGTCATGCTGTCAAGATGTGCGGATCCCACCCGTTTGTTTCGGAGATGGACCCGTATCATCGTAGTTCACCGACGCAGTTTTCTCATCGTGTTTTGCTTCACTTACTTGCTTTTCGAAGCAGGCCAGACTGCCTTTGCCCAATTGCTGTCCGACCTTTGCGCGGGCAGCGGCAGCTTGATTCAGTGGAATTTCCAGTGAATTCACAGGGGTGTCTCAGAGCCAGTTTCTTTATTTTTTTGCACTTTGTTTCCCATCAAGGCTTTGGGGGTGACAAAACCCACGCCGAACACACAAGAGCTTGATGTGCCAGACTGACAGGGGCTCGAACCAGGGAAAGCTTGAAGGCGACAGACCGACAGGTTGCAGCCCGTGGTGCGCTGTCCAGCCTTGTCTTTGTTTCAACTTCTTAGGACGCATGGCGCTCTTCCAACTTCTGTTGGCTTCTGCTTTCCACTTGGCTGCGGCTTCATTCAATGTGGTCTCTCCCGCCTTGGAGGCAGAAATGGTGCTTAAAAAGGACCAGTGGTGGCACCTGGGGGGCTTTTGCTTTGGTCGGGATGATGGAGCACCTGTAGCCAGGCTTGTTGCGCGAGTCCAGTGGCAGGGTGAAAGGCCACTGGACGCCTCCACCAAGGTGTACCTGGTCGCCTTTGACGGTCGAAAGGACTATTGGGGAGTGGCCCAGCAGGAGTGGGAGACTGCTGGCTGCGAAAGAAAGCTACAAGTTGCAACTGATGCAATTGAGCTGCATGAGCCCTTCTTCCAAAAGGTCCTCCCGCCAAATGTCGAAAAAGGCTTTGCCATCAACATTCGACAGAAGACTGCGATGAGGGATTGGCACTATGCTGTAATGGCTTGTGGCAGTGTAGAAGCTGCTCCGTTGAAACTGACATTGGAAGCAGTTTCAGGAGCCCTCTCCGTGTTCGCAGCCAATGACAACTTCGATGAAAGCAGTTGCCCAGTCATGCCAATCAGCTGGTGGCAAGAAGCCCAAGTAGAAGCAGGCTTTTGGCTTTTGCTTTGTGCTGTAGCCATTTGTAGTGCTTGCTTTGGCTTTATCTTCCTCATGGTGAGCCAGTGGCTCTTCAGCAGAAACAAGCGTGCCTATAAAGAGAGCACTGATGCCAACCAGGAGGTAGTCATCGGCAAGCCTTGCCAAGCGCTAGACGGGGATATGGATATCGCAAACGGTCAGATCAACACCGAGAATGTGAAGTCCAATCCAAAAGTGAGCCCGGAAGACGTTTGAATGCATTTTCTGAGGCATGGGCCATGTGCCAACATGCCCAAACATAGAAGATTGCATGTTCTTCTGAAAAAAGAGACACAAGCATCTCCCTAGAGGAGTGCTGTGTCACTTACTGTAGTTCATTCAGTTTTGCACGATGCAAGCCTTTGAATGATCTTCTCCCAGGCGCGCTTAGCTTGTGTAGGGCATAGCCGTTGCTGGGCACTGGGATGAGAAGACATCAAGCTATCAAAGAGGCTTTGAATTAAAATCATCGTGTTGACCTGCACTGGCACGACGGAGAATCGCCGTGTGCCATGGGTCCAGCCTGATGCGAGACGCGCAGATCGTCTCCGTTCCAAGAAAAAGAAAGGCGCCGGAGGACGTGGCGGGAGACGCAGCACGCGGCGGAGACACGAAGCACGCGCGGAGCTCGAGTTCATTGCAGAGCCTATAGGAATTTGGTGATTGCGGAAATTTATAGCATCTTGCTTTCCAATTTCCACCAACTGTGGGTCCAATCTGAGTAAATATAAAGAGGCAATTCAATGATTCATCCCCAGCTTAAGCTGCAACACACACAAACACACACCTGAGATCCTTTGTTTTGACCCAGAAGTCACAGCAGGCTTGTCGTTGGTTCACCTTTGCTTCACCTCTTCACACGCTGGTCGTTCCTTTGGTCTTGGCTTCGTTCCTTTGGTCTCGTCGTTGCCTGAGCGACTGCAGCTCCGTCCCGTTGTTTGGTGACCCGTTCCAAAAGCCAAAAACAAAGCAATGAAAACAGTTGTTCAACGTGTCCAGCGCAAGAAGTCCAGCTACGGAAAACGAAACCAATGTTCCCTCAAACCTTCATATCTTATCCCTGTCCTTGTTCCCTTGAAGTTCCAGAGTTACAACATGTGACAACTATGTTGGGCGGCTGTTGTTTCTACGAACAACAACAACAACGACAACAACAACAACAACAAGAACACTAGCGCCAGCACAAACACAAACACCACGCACCAACAATTGCAGTGACATGCAGTGACTTTATTTGCGACACAGACATCAATATCATCGACACATTTTGGGCTCCCATATGAAATATGCAGATTTTTTAGGGGTTTAAACGCAGACGCATGGTTGGCCACCGTAGTTAGCCGAGCGACACAGTAAAGCGCTGACGTGAGTCGATGCCATTGGAAAAACTTTGTGGAATCACATCTCTAAGAACCTTACCACATGCTAGACCTGCCAACAACACGAAAGGGGGTCCTGTCCACCAACACCAAACTTTGACAGGGACCAAGTGCAAAAACTGCTGAGCAACACCTGTAACCTGTAGCCCCAGTGTAGCCTCAGCGTGTGAACCACATTTTGATAACTTTTGGATGTGTGAGCTTGTTTGGGTTCTTTTTGCCCCTGGCTGCGGTTGTGTTGCAAATACGAAGGGTTTGCAGTGGACGCTCCGAAACGCTTGACCAAGCTTGGTCAGGTGGATTGCACCGAGATACATGAACGTGCCGCTCGTGGCGCTCCCCGAGCGTGCCCTGACCCAACAAGGGCGGGGATCAGAGTCAGGGCAAGGGCGGTTTCCGTGAAAACACGGCAGTTTGCAGCAGTTTGAGCAGTACTGGTTCGTTTTTTCAGGTCAACGGCGAAGAATACCAAAGTCTTGTTGGTTGTACAGCTCTGCAGAGTAGCATGGATCCCCAAAAGCGCTCGTAAAAGGAGAACTCACTGGCACAGGTCCATTTTCACAGGCTTCAGGAGTATTATCCGACGGTAGCTTTGGTTTGAAGAGCGCAGAATAACATGGCCCTTACCTCGGCAGATTTCAGCTGGCTGTCACAGGGCAGCAACTGGTTTTTGTGGCGCGTATCCGTGCTGTGAAGGTCAAAAGGCACTCGCAACGTCGGACATGTTGTCTCCACGCAACGTCGGACATGAATTCGGAGAAACGACGGATGTCTCTCAGTGAAATGACACGTATCTTTCTTGCAGCAGATGTCGTCCACAGAATGTAATGGGCAGAGAATGCAATGGCAATGCCATTGCCCATGGGTCTCTGATGCTGTTGTGATTTCGTCCAATCCCGTCTGTGGCTTCACTTGCAGTTCGGAAGACGCCGCTGGTGAGCTTCACCTGGCGACGAAAAAACATAGAATCACGCCCATTAGCTGGGCGTCCCTTGAAACATACCCGCATGGTACCCACTGGATGCACCATTCCAGGATATTCCAGGGGCTCGAACAGGGGAAAGCTTGAAGGCGACAGACCGACAGGTTGCAGCGCGTGTGCGCTGTCCAGCCTTGTCTCTGTTTCAACTTCTTAGGAAGCATGGCGCTCTTCCAACTTCTGTTGGCTTCTGCTTTCCACTTGGCTGCGGCTTCATTCAACGTGGTCTCTCCCGCCTTGGAGGCAGAAATGGTGCTTAAAAAGGACCAGTGGTGGCACCTGGGGGGCTTTTGCTTTGGCCGGAATGAGCAAGCACCAGCGCTGGTCGCACAGCTTGTTGTGCGAATGCTCTGGCAGGGTGAAGCACCTCTAGATCTATCCACGAAGGTGTACTTGGTCGCCTTCGATGGGCGAAAGGACTATTGGGGGGTGGCTCAGCAGGAATGGGAGACTGCTGGTTGCGAAGGCAAGCTTCGAGTTGCAACTGATGCATACGACTTGCACGAAATGACATGGTACAAGAGAATCCCTCCGAATGTCGAAAAAGCCTTTACGATCAACATCTACCAGAAGACTGCGATGAGGGATTGGCACTATGCTTTGATGGCTTGTGGCAGTGTAGAAGCTGCTCCGTTGAAACTGACAGTGGAAGCGGTTTCAGGAGCCCTCTCCGTGTTCGCAGCCAATGACAACTTCGATGAAAGCAGTTGCCCAGTCATGCCAATCAGCTGGTGGCAAGAAGCCCAAGTAGAAGCAGGCTTTTGGCTTTTGCTTTGTGCTGTAGCCATTTGCAGTGCTTGCTTTGGCTTTATCTTCCTCATGGTGAGCCAGTGGCTCTTCAGCAGAAACAAGCGTGCCTATAACAAGAGCACTGATGCTAACCAGGAAGTAGTCATCGGCAAGCCCTGCCAAGCACTAGAGGATATGGATATCGCAAATGGTCAGATCAACAATGCGAAGTCGGCGAAGTCCAATCCAAAAGTGAGCCCGGAAGACGTTTGAATGTATTTTCTGACTCATGAGTCATGCATTGGAGAAGGATTGTATTTATGTGAGAGCATCCCCCAAGAGGGGTTTTGCCTCTCCCAGTTTAGTTTGGAACTGGGCCATGATCTTCCCTGGCTGAGCTAACCTTGTGCATAGCCGTTGTGGGGGCCCACCAGGAGAAGATGTCCACCGGGTGTTCTATTTTGAAACTTCACGATCTTCGAAGCTGAGCAGCTTTGATAAGAAGACTTGTTTTTTGATTTTTTTTTTGTGATGTGTCAGTAGAAAGCATCATTGAGCATCACTATTCTTTCGGACACACGATGTGTGACGGCTTTTGTGACATGCCCAATGAGTGGTCGAAGATTGCCAGGAAGTCCTTGAACACCACTGCTCCCGTCGTCTAGAAAGGGGCTTTTCAGCGGCCGGACCATGCTCGGACGAAAATTGCGTGCCAGTTGTGAATTGTACCTTTCGGTGACAGTTTCGATGCAATGGTGTATTATTCCGTCCCAGCATCTCAACTGAATTTTTGTCAACTGCAGATTGTACCTTTCTGTGCGCCTTTGGCTTGATCCGCCGTGTTTGGACACCCAAAGCGAAAGACCAGGAGACCCAGATCCACCCAGGCATCTGGGGAGGATCCCAGGTGATCTCGTTTCGTGCCAATTTCGCTGCAATTCCTGCAATTCGGAGCGGAGCCTCTCTCGCCCCACCCCGTGCCGCCGTGGATCCGCAGCCAGTGTCTTGGGCCCGAGCCAGCGTCCCGCTCCAGCGTCCCGCTGAGCTTCGAACCACTCTTTTTCGCAGGGCGGCTCAGTTGGTCACAGACCGACAGGTTCTCTGGAGAACCGATTCTCTGAGGTCTGGTATTTGTATGTATTTGTTCACATCAATTCTTGCAATCAGTTCTGGCCGCCAATTTGATCTGACGGTTCTTGACCTTGGGTACAGCGAGAGACAGCGTGAAATCTATAGCTTTCAATCCCATTTTGCCGAGAGAACACACGGTTTTTATATATACCTCTATAGAATCCCAGTTACGCCAAACTACATAAATATATATATATATATTTATTTATTTATCTCGGCCACGCCAAAAAGCGGTCGACCTGAGCGGAAAAACATGGGGCCTAAAAATGACTCATGAGCCCAGAACCCAGGAGATATTCAAGTACCGAAATACCAAGATCTCAGTGATCTTGGCATCTCCAAAGCCGAGTGATGTTGGGCCAGTATACCTGAACATCCATTGAATATCATTGAATTGTAGAATTGTGAAAACACCGAATGATTTACCAGATAAGGTATCTCCAGGTTGACAGAATACCACTTTTGTCCCATCTCCCACATCCTTTCTTCAATGCTCTCTGGTGGGCGGTTGTTGAGTTGTTCTCGGGATCAGGTCAATTGCGGGAGTGCACAACCTAGAGCAGAACAGAATCATCCACCCTGGGTCGTCTATCCGAAATCTGAAAGTCTCTTGTAGGCCATCGTTTACCCCGTTTCTAACGAGAATGGAAGGGAATGGCCCCCCCCGATTGTAGAGTTCCAAGAGTCTTCCAAGAACCCATTGTCCCTTTCCACATGTGGATCGTGTCCAACTCCTTTGCGTGGACCGGCGCTGGACTCCAACCTCTGGGCTCGACCAGGAGATCATGGCTCGACCAGGAGCACAGCAATAGACAATTGATTTGGAGATTCAAACTCAAACCAAAGCCGAGTCGGTCTCAACACTTGATATGGGGAATTATGCATACCGAAAATAAAAGACTTCGACCGTGACTGTAGTGAAAACAGCTTTGAGCCTGGCATTGAGTGTTTGGGTTCCCCTAGGCTGGCGCTCCACCAGGGATGCGGACCAGCTGTGGGTGTCTATAATCCCTGCTCCCATTTTTCTGAGGAAGACCCCAAGACAAGAGCTCTGCAAACCCAGGATTTTTCACCCATATATTGCTGGTTTGGTTTGGTTTGGTTGGTTTTGATGGGATTTCCCCAGGTGACATGTCCTGGTTTTGTTTTCGCCAATGACTGTGTGGGGAGCGGACAATTAGCTGGGATTCTGATCTCTTTGCACGGAAGAAAACGGATGAAACCTGGGCAGATGGGCGAGTGCTAGCTGAAACGATCATCCCCATGTGACGAGAAGAGTTGATTCTGAACAGAACATGGTCACTGTGGACGTCGCTTCGACTTTCTTATTGGTCATCGGACCGGACGACTTTGGCCCGGGTGGAGCAGAGGCTAGACTTCCGACGGAACTGGGGTGGGGGAGAGATCAGCCATGATCAGCCTCCCACATTTTGGGGCTCCAGGTTTTGACCCACATGCTCACCCGCGAAGCATTCTTCTTTTTTTTTCGCTGTCAACCAGTTGTCGGTCCCCATCACTCAGAGTGACTCTTTCCCGAGCTGTCCACGTGGACGGAGCCCGTGGTCAAACCTACAAAACCGTGCGGAGGTTTGTGGGTTTGTGGGTCGGTGTTTTTCAAGGAGCGATGTGCTTTTGAGAGAAAAAACAGGAGCGATCCATGAGCGATCATCAGAGATCATCAGGGATCGAAACTCAACTCATTAGAGATCTCATTGTTTCCAAAAGAGGGTTTTTGGGCAGCCCCAGGGCCTCATCATGCCACATCGATCTCGGTGAATGAACTTCGTCACCTGTGGATGCTTAGGCCATCTCTGTTTTCTTTCATGGAATCACATGCCGCACCAGGGTCTCTTCATCCCATTTCATGCGCGAGACTCCAAGGGCCCTGGTTTCACACCGAAGGAATTGGCAGTCATTCACTCCCAACCACGCAGAACTCCGGACCACTTTCGGCCGACCTCCATCCCCCCGAACGCTTCACGCCTCAGCGTGGTCCACGCGTGTTCTGCTTCCGATGATCCACAGTGCCGCGCCCAGTGGCGCCAGGACACCTGATTTTGCTGGCCGCGGCTGCGCTCCTAGGTCTGGCGGGTGACCCACTGGGCGGTGTTTTCGTGGCGCGGAGGTGTCCCACCACTGGGTGAGGGCGACTCAGGTGTGGTGAACTGGGCGAACAGGCTCAAAGAACGGAAGGAGCTCCAGTTGGGAGCCTTTTTGTTAAGGGAATGGTCTTGGTGTGCATCAGTAACGGCATGGCATGATGGCATGATGGCATGTCGCATCAGATTTCAGCCTGTTTCGGTCAGAGCAAGGCCCTTGCAAGAGACTTCCCACCAGTGTATCAAATGGTCCCCCGCTGCAGTCGAATCGCTTGTAGGTGGCCAATCGGAGCTAGAATGGGTGGGTGGAAATAGCTGATGGCTGCATGAGTGGCTCGTCGATTTTTACGACAGCCAGGGAGAAAAAAAAGATCGCCTTCTTCCCAATTGGTCCCTAATTGAACATCATTGAACAGGAGTGTCTCAACCTACCTATATTCAGTATTCCCCAAGACTCGGGGCCACTGGTCACCGGGTCACCGGTTCACCGGGTCCGGAGGGGTGTGTCTTGGCCTGCCGTGGAAGGGTGTCTTGGACTTCTTTCGGTGTGCAACACGGAGACCAAGACCTCCAACCCATGGCTATACTATCTTCCTTTCAAACCCAGGGGGCTGGTTGCCTGGAAGGTCTCCTTAATTTCTAGGCAGACCCTCTGAGTGTTACCACCCTCTTAGTATTTATACGTCTATACAATTAGGGTCCCAACGACGGCAGGTCAGGAGACAGTTCGGGGTTGCGGGTCGCACGATCAGGACTCAGATATTGCTTCTTGGCCAGCCCTGAGCAGCTTCCAAAGGCTGGCGCTGGAAGTGCTCGAGAGATGAGAGTAGAGAGGAGGTGTAGGTCAAAGCCTACAGATACCTCTAACTAACATTGAGCTGAACCCCGCGGCCACTCGCTAGGGTTCCATGTCTTTGGAGCAGACCCGCTACAACAACCCTGGGGCCCCGCTTTTGACGACCTTGACCCAGAGACAATGAGCGATGGCTATGATGGCGGTGGTGGTTCCCGCATCATTTGTCGAAGAAAGCCATAGAAAACCATTAACTCATAAGATCAACAAGTCCGTCGAGACTTATGCGTATGCTTGGATGGACTCAACATGTATATGATTCAATGTAGAATTGATGGAACGTTAGCTTGTGAATGCAGACTGAAGCATTTGGATTTGGATACTCCTATACTAGACCGCTAGAATGGATCCTGGATCCTGTTAAACAATATCTGCTGGGGACCCGGCACCAGCACTTGGGGGGTTCGTCTAAGTTAGGCTGAAACAGAACAAGACCCCTGGACCCCTGGCTTCCAGGATCACTTCTACGCCCTTCCTTTGTTCGTTCTTCCGCACACTCTCCCGACCAACCGTGAGTACGATGTCTTCGTTCTTTTGAGGCCAAGTCGGGCGTAGACTTCAATCCGGCGGTGGCTTCGTGCTTAGCTGCGCCATCACCACGCAGGAAGGTGGAATGTGAACTGAAGAAGTGCTGTTTGCATTTGTTTGCTGTGAGAGCTGAGACCTGGACAACCAACAAATTGGCGAACTCTCTCGACGTTCAAACTTCGAGTGACACGCAGGTTGCCCTGGAGTCTCCAATACCCAGACAGAGACCTCCTGGCCCTGGCTGGGTTGACGGTCTGTTTCTCAAAAAAGAAACGTCACCACACCTGGTGTCGGTCTCCACACCCAGCCCACATTGCGAACGAAGTGCGGAGTTCTGCAGCCCACAACCCGCCCACTTTGTTCTTGTCACCCTTTCTCCGTTCTGGATGACAGTCGACTACTCGCCGTCTCTAAACACGGAGGGTGTTGTGGGGAACCCCACTCGCTGGCAACCTGTTTTTCTCTTTGAACTGGAAGGGTAGAACCTTTTTCGGCAACGTCTTCCAAAGGTACAAAAGAAGACAAGAAAACAACTTCTTCCAAGGAACCCCCCGTTCTTTCCAACCTCCTCCGCCGAGGCGGCCTCCGCGGCCCTTCCGGCGCTCACCATGCTGGCGGAGGACGCTGAGGCCAAGTATGGTGACAACCGCAAGTGGCCCGGGATGCCCGGAGTTGGAACTCCGGAAGCAGGGCGCAGGGGGCGCCTTCGGGAAGGCCCGAAACGTGTGGGTGGGTCCGGAGAAGTGTGTGGTTTTGTGTGTAGACAGTCACAATCAATCCAAGGCTGAAAAGCTAGAAACAGAATGAAACAGAGACTCTGTTGAGTTCCTTTTGTGCGAGAATGCTTATAGTTGATTTGAGAGGTATTTTGCTGCAGGATGGCCCAGAAGCCGTTGGTAATGCTGGTGATTGATGGCACCACGGCCGACCAACTACTGTAACGAACCAAACCGATGAACCACGTCTATTTGGTTTACATTGTTATAGACGTGTATAGTATATAGGCTATATAGGTGTTTAAACGCGACAGAAAGAACCACCTGCCAAGGCGGAGCTCGGTCTGTGTCTCGACCACGTGGGGAAACCACCCGCACGTCTCGACCCAGGCCCGCCGTCCTGGTGCCGTTGACCACCTTGGTCTTCCCTATCACCGCCTTTGGCGTCTTTGCCACCGGGACGGCAGACGGGGACGGCAGACGGGTCCAACCACGGATGGGGGATGTGAGGGTGGAAGAGGGCCCGAGATCCCCGTGGTGGTCAGAGGTGCGCGGAACTCGCACCCAAGACACGAAGAAACAACACATCAACCGAGTGGTCAGTGTCTTCGCGATCGAAAGTGGTGTTCCTGGTGTCCTGGTGGAGGATGGGGAAGTTGTGTAGTCCGAGTTGGTCCCAAGGTGGTCAAAGACTCATGTTGAACGGATGATGACCATCAGCGTCCATCGGCGTTTGTTTTCTCATGTTTTCTCTGCATGCAACATGCATGAGACCTGCTGCTAAGTGGCTTGCCGGGCTTCTTTTATCTCGTGCATGCCGTGTTTGCTTATTGGTGTTTTATTTTGTCCAGATTATGTTGATGTAACATGCCAGTAATGCAAAGAAAGACTCCATTATGGAGATCCACCAGCAGAATTCAGGCCATCCGTGTGTTTGTGTTCGTCGTCAGTGAAGGGGTGGTGCCTCATCAGATCAGTTCTCAATTCTTTCAGCCCACGGATCTTCGGGGCGGTGCCTCAGAACTCCGCCTCTTCCGGGAACAGCATGGCACAGCAGGGCACAGCTATCTGTTGGAGATGGCTGTGGGTGGACACCCCGCGGCACACGGGGCACGACCCGTGGGTCAAAAGGAACCGATTCCTCGAGCGGGGTGTCAACCTATCATGCTTTGGTGAGGGAGGTTGATCTGCTGGATCGGATGGGAGGGAACGGGAGTCCAAGGCACCGGAACGCGCCGTGATGCCCTGCCCAAGTACCGAGGTCCTCTACTCCTTTACCGAGGCAAGTTGAATTGGGGAACCGAACACCGAGGGCATCCGAGGGCCGTGGGAGGTGATTAGGAGAGCCCTGAGAACCCCAACCTAATCGTTGCTAGAGCAGCGAGATCCACCATTTTGGGCCTGAGATTTGGGTCTTCGTCCTCAGCGCAGCTCGGCTGATCACGTCGACCAGCCTGGTGGATTGGTGGGACGGGGACGTGCTCCCACTGAGCCGTTTGCTCAATACACATTTAGATAGAGAGCTCGCAAGAGCAAGAATCAGTTGTGAAGATCCAGTGATGCTAGCACTTTAAGTCTAGGTAATTACTGCGCCGGAGCGCTCAAAACCTTGCCCGGAACAAAAAGACCCTGTGAGGAATGGAGAGGTGAAAGGGTCCGCTGAACACTATTGTGTAACTCATTTCAGGATTCGTTGTAACTCAAGCAGGCACATGGTCCCTGATCAGCTCTCACTTCCCGTGCGATTTCTGTAGCTTCGTTGATTCTGTACAAAGATAATCATTGAATTAAAGGGGAATGAGACAGATTGTTAGAAGTGTGTGAGTCCCTTAGAGACAGAGTTTGACACACACACACACACACACAGACACAGGCACACCTCTGAGCCCCTGGGACATGGCCTCAGATCAATAGTGCTGAAGAGTTGTGGAAGCAGCCATGAAAGCCAAGCACATCTGAATCATCGTTTTCTGCCAGGATGCCTTCTGGCGATCCCCTGCCAACCCTGGCACGCCCAAAGCCAAAGCAGCGCAGCTTGGACGACTTAGGAAGAGACAGATCCTGACAGATTCCCTTTTGAGCGCAATGTTTGGTCTTTTCTGGACAGAGACCTTGAACCACCTCCAAAGGAAGGTTGGTTTTGCACAGGTTTGACTCATTATTTTGTTTGACTATTTCTTTGACTTCGATCAATGGAACTGCCGAAGCAAAATTCTCGAGGCACATGTCGTGACCTCGGTTGTGAAGGGAAGAGTCCGCTATCGAAATACAGCATATTTAGACCACACGACTTAAAGACCTCCTCGATGAAACCTGTTGATGGCATAGGAATCCTGCACCATGTGGGGGATCCTCCGTGTTTTAGCCGTGCTAGTGTCTATATACATATATATATATATAGACCTCCATGTGCAGGCATCTTCGATCCGGCCTCGATCCAACGTCCATTCGATCAATACTTGCAGGATACACAAGCATATGTGATATATGTGTATATATACACATACCAGGACTCAGACCATCCAAAGAGTGTCCTAGCTGGCCCCAAGCTACTGGTTGATCTCCAGCCAGCACACCCCTTTTGGGTGTTCCGGATTTTGCTTTGTGCAGGAGACCCTAAAAAACTATACTACCTTCGGATGACTTGGGATTTAGAAAACATACATGGGAACGACTCACACATTCCCAAGTCATTTGCCTTATCCCCCTTGCGATTAATCCCAAGTCACTTGACGCCTTAACTCCCATGTGATCTGCGCCCAGTACAATTGATTTTGAATGCCTCTGGTGGAACCGCTGGTGATCCGCTGGTGAACCGGTGTTTGGGTCCTCAGGGAGAAGGCCTGGAGAGAGCATCCTTTGTTCGCCGACATCAAGGCGACCGGAATTCCGCGGAAGTGGGAGCGTTTTTTCAAGGCATCGGAACTGAACATCCACGGGTTCGATGTATTCCTACCCCCAGAGGGTGCTTTGGTCGATGTATTCCATCATGGATATCCGGCACAGCTTCTAGGAATGTTAACGCGGTAGACATTCCGTGTTAACAGTGCGAGAAATATCTGGCCGCTCGCAGTTGCCTTCAACCTTCAAACCAACAAGTAGCTTGGAAAAGAATCTGAGTGAGCGAGCGATGATTTCTATGAGCTGTGCTACTCCCACCTGACCAACTTTTGAATCCCTAAATAAAAAAATATATATATATGTTCTGACCAGGAAAGTGGATAATTATGTTTGTTCTTTGGCCTTCAGGACAGGCAACGAGGGCTAATTCGCTTCAACCGTGGGCACAATGACTGGGCATCGGTGCTGCAAATGCAGGGCTAGAGCACTACTAGCAGTGGCATAACCACTTTGCCCCCATTTGGTGGAATGGCGGTGGTGGTGGTTGCTGCTGTTGTTGTTGTTGTTGCTGCTGCTGCTGTTGCTGTTGCCGTGGTTGTTGTTGTGGTAGTGGTAGTGGTAGTGGTAGTGGTAGTGTTGTTGTGGTCGTGGTCGTGGTCGTGGTCGTGGTCGTCGTGGTCGTGGTCGTGGTCGTGGTCGTGGTCGTGGTCGTGGTTGCGGTTGTTGTTGTTGTTGTTGGTGGTGGTGGTGGTGGTGGTGGTGGTGGTGGTGTGATGTCTGATCTTGCCCTCAGCTGGCCAGGATCCCATGTTCGGCCTCCTGAACCCTGATGATTACGAGAAAGGCACGCTCAGCTGGCAGGACGTGGTTGGTCGCCCCGTACTTCTAAGATGGGGGTTTGTTGATTCTTTGCACCAGCGAATCGGTGAAAGATCTTCCAGGCTGGTGAAGGATCTTCCAGTGTTCTCCAGTCTGTCCTCAGATGAGGCTTGGAAGAGGCCTGGGAGCGTGCAAAGCCTGCGGGCAGTCGGAGCCCTCAGTGGTCTCTGCGAGGCAGTCGGCAGGTGCGATCCGCGTCCGACTCGTAGGAATGCCGATGACCTGGCGAGGTGCCGATGGTTGCCACATCAAATGGGAGGTGAAGGATGTGATGAATAGAACAGGGAGTCGCACCCTGCGCAAGTGGGTGTAGGCTACGTCGCTATGTGTTCTTTTAAGATTTGTTAAGAGGGGAATGAGTCGTGAGTCGAACAGGGAGGTTTTGGTCGATCAGATGAACAGAGCTCTGAGGACCGAGGACGCCTTCATTCATGAGAAGATGTCCCGTTTCATTCGGACAATTCTGTCCTGGGGCGGCGCGGCTCTTTCTCAGAACTTTGAGATTCCGGCAGCTTTCACAAGGATCCAATTTCCAAAGAGCAGCAGTTTATTTTCTTTTTTGGTGAGGGCTAAAATCACGATCCCCAAAATCTGCAGCAGAGGTCATTTTCATTCATTGTCATTGTTAATTGAGCTTATAGATCTTCCATATGTTTGGTCAATGAACTCAGCTGGGGTGGGTTTTGAATCGGATTTCTGACCATCCATACCACTCAGCCTCGCTTTCAGACGACCTCTCGGCTTCGCACTGACGGGCGGCACAGGGCTGCAGCATGCCGGACCGATCGCACTTGGGAACCCCAAAACGGTGGGGGTTTGGGCCGATTTGGTCCCCTCCACACCTGAAACCTGAAACCTGGGTGCGGGAGGGCCTCTTTCGACCTGTTTCTGGTCCTGTTTCGGAGGTTCGGGTTTCGAGCCAGAATCGACCGGCCACGAAGTGAATCGAGCCACGAAGCCGGGTCACCTCGAGGGACAAGTACGGAACGTGGTCAATTGGGAGCCTCGGAGAGAATTTCCCCAGCAGCTCGGATGAGCTCGGATGAGCCGCCTCGGGAAGCGGGCTTTCGTGGAAATCCCGGACATCCCCATCTGACGATCGCGAATGGGTGGGGCAAACCCCCCTGAGGCACCGTGACCGTGAAGGAGAAGTTGGCGAAGCTCTCGAAGCAGAACGCGCCACACTGGGCCTCTCGGTCCCAGAAACCTCGGTGGTCGGTGGGGGGAGCCTTGGGGTGGAAGCCTCGGTGTGGCACAGGGGTGGAAGCCTTGGCATCCACATGTGCCCACATTGGCTGAAACGGACAAAAGCCGATCAATGACCAGCCAGCAATGGCAGCGAGGGATGCATGAAGGTTCTGTTGAGACAGCACAAATACACCGGGAGACGAGAGAGATGAACCTGATGTACGAACTTGTCAATTCACTTTGTCTCCATTTAATTACTTGTTTGTATTAGAGAGACCATCACCACCTTTGACCCCTGCAAATCAACAACGTCCAATCAGCTTGCCTGTAGAGCTCTGAGGGGCTTGAACAACCCCTAGGAAGGTGTATGAATCTGTAAGTCAAGCATTCTCTGGATCCAAGCCGAGCGAAATCAGCACTGGTCCTCCGACGAGTTCTTATTTGCCACTGACTCATCGAGCAGACCAAAAGCAGTTTTCTTTATAAGACTACCCAGCCAGGATGCTGCATGTAGCTCGACACAACTCCCACCAGCTCACCCAGGAGACTTGGAACAAGGTTTCCTCCGCCTAGACCGAGGCGTGCACTTGGCACGGTCCGTGGGGGGGTTGAGGGAGAAGCAAGACTCGACGCCATGCTTGTCTTCTGACCAAAGGGAACTTAGCTTTACAGAAGTTGCGAAAAACGCCAAACACGTGGGGGCGCAAACTGGTGGCTTGACCTACAAACTGTCCTTTTTCGAGAAGACACGTTCTTTAAGCCGGGAATCCAAGTTCAGACTCTACTACACTTCGTCCGCGTCGGGCGGTTTCAGGGGGCTCAAATCGATGCGTCAGGCCGTGTCGGGTGGTTTCAGATTGGATTTGGTCAACCTATTACTTGGGGTGATTGAACCCATTGGATCCCATTGGCTCATTCATATGTTTTTGGTGAGTTCAAAGCCGATTCCGAAACCTTTTCAGGGCGACTAGCCGACCGGCGACCGAGGCGAACGTTGCGGGAAGGGGTTTCCCGGTGTGCGGGGGTTCTCAGGTAAGGCAACGAAAGCGAGTGACACGGTCGCAGGTGAGAGAAGCTGTAGCCTCTATCAGAGAAACGTCTCTCAATCCAGGGAGAAGATATTTCGGGTGGTTGATCAACCTGAGGCAGATGAGATCTTAAACCTTCCATGTAGAACCACCGTTTCAATCGGGTGGTGCTGGTCTTTCGGAATGGTTCCCCTGAAAAAACCTTCGTTTGGAAGCAGATCACGCATTCGATCCAGACAGCCCTGATGAGGTCAATGAGAAACCATATCCGACCTACACGGCTAATTATCCTCCAACCATCCCAATGTATGGTATAAAGATGCCATGTCATTGCAGTGTCTGAAAGTTCACACACACACCCAATTCACTTTGGTCTCCGTGGCCGATGGGCCAGGTGTGCCCTTCGCCCTCCCGCTGAGCCCTCCGCGCGGCCGACTCGCGCGTTTTTAGAAAATTCGGCTCCAGGGCGGGGCGAGGGCGGAAATCCGGCGAGACGGGGTTCGGATGACGGAGATCACCGGACGGTTCGGTGAACCAAACCCCCAAAAACCTCCTTGTATGCTCATTTCAGTGGCTGCAGCTTTGCTGAGGTTTTCCGTTTTTTCTCGGGTCGGTGGGAAAAGGCGAAGATCGAGTTGAGAGCTGCGGACCGGAAGCGGACCGGTCGGGGTACAGAATCCACACTCTCACTATACAGCCTCCAGGCCTACCCCCCTAAAAGCCTCTGCATGCTTTGAGAAAGTTGCATGTTATTGAGAAAATTAGAGGTTACTCCCATATACAGCTCCAGAAACCATGTCATTTTTTTTGATAAAGGGGTCTGGTCACTGTTTGAACCGTCAAGTTTGGTGTAAAACCCTTGTGCGAAACTCATCTCAAATGTGTAGAATTGGGCTTCCCCGTTTCCTTTACAACGCCCTTTGTTGATCCCCTGATACCTCACTTGTCAGATTTTCCTGCAATCTATAACCAAGCCTGGGAGTTTCTTGTAGGGGGCATAGATGGACTTCTTTGACAACCCAATAAACAAAAAGGTCAGGACCTTACTCTTGGAACCTCACTCTTGGAACCTCAAGTTGTGCCAAGGTCAAAGCCCAATGAGCAATTCTAGGGGGCTGCGAACCATGGTGTTTCTATTTTAAGGGGCCCGTTGAAAGAACGTGAGGGGGGAATGAAGCAGCCGAATGGCATCTTCTGGTCGTTTTGTGGTCCTGCTTTTTGTTGATTGCCAGCAAGAGCCTAAAACTCGTGCCTAGGACAGTGTGATTTTTTGCTGGTTCTGCTTTGTGCTGAGATTCCCCCAATATCCCCTCCAATCAATTTCATACTTCCAAATTCGATGCCAGAATTTGGAAGCCTGGAGTATACAATATGATCAGCTCAGTGTGTGAGCGGGATGTTTAACATGACTATGATGATCCAGCGTACGGCTCTCTTATCTTTCAGGGGTAGCTTCAGTGGATGAGAAGATGGAAGTCCAATGATCTAGAGAGTGTCCGCTTTCTTCTTTCCCTTGGCTCACATGCGGAACAGACTAAACATGACAAAACCCTTTTGTGGGTTCCATGGAACAGCAGCAGACATCAACCATGGGCATTGCAAGAAGAACGTAAGACGTTCTCAAGTAATAAGAAGATTTATATAGTATCTATCGAGCTTCAGAAGTCCTACAGAAAAAACACCAAGCCAAGTGGCACATTGATCTCAAGCCATGTCAACCTTACTTGAAAGGGAAAGTATGTTAGTCCGCCAAGCACGCGAGCACGTTTCTTCTGCAGTCTGTGAGTGAATTATTGAACATTCCCTATTCTCTGATTGTATCTGTCCTTTTCTTGAGCCGAACGTTTCGAAAGGAAGAAGCACCAATTGGACCACCAACGCTCGAGCCCGTTCCAACCACTCCGAGCTGACGGGGCCGGTTGGCGGTCCCAGGGGCCGCCCGGTCGGTGCAGGCGGGGGTTTCACGGCAGGCGAGAGGAAGCGACTTCCTTCCAATCCACAGCTCCTTCCATCCCTTCCGCTTCGGACGTCAAGATCGGGTGTTTTTCTCTCCCGTCTCGACTGAACTGCTAGAAAAGGGTTTGAAGAAGTTCCCGAGACCTCCATGTTCCTGGAAAGAAGCAAGGTCGACCTGAGGTAGACGAGACGATGTTCCCGGGATGTTCCGGTCTGGATGGGCGATCTCACCAGCGGCTGGCCCGCAAAGATCTGCCCCAGAAATCTGGAGAAAAAGACAACAGCTCAAGGAGGAAAAACCCTGGTTTCTCGGTCAATTGGAGACTCTAGACACCTTGCCTGTTCTATTGTGCATGATACTGCAAAATAGCATACCTTGGCTCCTGTATCGTGTGATTCGCGCAATCCCACACAACTCATCTTCTGTGGCTTTGGGCCTCGTTGGCCGTGAACCCGGACCGAAGCCCCCGTTTAAGCCTGCCAGGTGCGGAGGCCGATGGTGAACCTGAGCCTTGCCAGGCGAAGCCAACGGGAGCTGCAAGTGGAGGAACTACTTCACTGCAGATTGACTTGGAACCCCAAAACCACTGGGTTGTAGAGGAAAATGGTCTTATACCGGTCAAATTCTCAGGTTCCATGTTAGTTTGCGGGAGAGTAAGTTCCATTGTGTTCCAACCATGTATTCTAACTCCATCGAACTCCTCTACCTCGACCGTTCCGATGCTTTTCAACACCTCTTTAATTCGTTCGGCGCAGCTGAGCAGCTGGGACGAGGGTCAACAGATCAATCGTCGAGAAACAGTCCATGCATGTCCATGCATTTCGATCACCAGGCTCCCGACGTCGAACTCCAAAGTGATCCCAAGGATCGAACTCGAAGTGAGATCAAGATCCATGTCAGAAGTCATGGAACTTCTGAGTAATCCCAACTCCAAGCATTTCGAACTCCACATGATCTCAGATCGGCTGCTTGGGACTGGTGGAAGCTTCCGGCTTGGGACTGGGTCAAGCATGAAGAATGGATCGCAGTGGTAAGAGTGTGAACCATGTGTACGACCCATACGACTCCAACCACTTGTACTGGATCCTTATCTTGCAAGATCTTGCCTTCGCTTCATTCTCCCAAAAACACACCTTAAATAACAAATCAAGAGCGAGTTCCCCCCCCCCCGGAACTCCCGTCGTTGGTCCAGATCGGGGATGTGACATCGACGGACGTCGAGCGAGGTGCTTCGCTTCGCACGCGGAGCACGGTGCCGAACTCGTCGGGCGGGCGGAGCAGGGGCGATGGCCGAAGGGGACCAAGTGAGGGAAGATGGAGGCGGGTGGCTGGTGAAGAACTCAAATGGTCTACATGTATTCGAAATCTTCTGAAACCTAAGTCCGTCGACTGGTCCGACTGTTTGGGTGACTTGAGATGTTTGAGTGTCCGGCGTGCCCTTTGTCCTCGCAGGGAGAGATGGAGCGTGGAGTTCAGAGTGTCCTGCGGTTGGAATCCTTGGCGTCGACGTGAATCCAAACCGACCTTGGGTCTTCACCGGTAGACTGCATAGACACAGGTTCTGGGTACATCAACTAAGATTCTAAAAGAATTCAACAGATTTGGATCATTGATGTTTTCATGTCGTTACTCCAGTGGGATGCTCAGTGTGTGGCCACTGAGCCGGCATACCCGTGGGCAGAAAGGACGGACTTGGCTCATTTCAGATGCGAAAGAAGACCAATGACCATGAATGACCAATCATTCACATTCCCTTTTGGGCTTACCAGCACGGCAACTGGACAGTGCTGCCAGAAGTCGACCCGCGCTAGTGACCTGAGGCGAGTTAATTTGATGGGTTTCATTCTGGTCAGGGGCTGGTCGTTCTTGGGGCTTTCAGAGTGCTCAGGTGCTCTCCCCAGTGCCTTTCAGTATGACGGCCCGGCGCCGAGCTTCCCACCGCCGCCGCGGAGTCCTCGGCCGTAGGAGCCATTCGGTGAAGCGGTAGGGCAAGATGCAGAGAGATGTTGGTGATATGTTGACTGGCTGTTGAGGAAAGGACTTGATTTCCTTCAACAGCTCTAAAATATAGGTCAAAATATGTTTAAACAGACACTTGCAAAGGGTCGTTTTGCGGTTTACCGACCCTGTGCGTTTGTTTCTGCTTGGACAAAGCAGCTCTTCCCCGGAGACCGATCATAGCGTCCAAGTCGAAGTAGAAGTGAAGCACTCGGTTGGTTTCTGATGAGCGACCAGATGCGTGGGATACTGCTTGGGTCATTCTCGTTAAAGGCTTCGTCCATTTTGGTGTGTGTCCAACTTAGAGGACATGCCGCAACGGATTCATCATGATTCATCATGAGTTCGCTGCCGGAACACCACGGGCTCCAGCCGCGCCCAGGGGGGTCGTGGTCGGTGGGAGCCTTCGACAGCCGCCATGCCGATTGGAGCCTTTGAGATCCCATGTCCACGAAAGCCAGAGGCTTTGAACTGTGGCGCCTTTGGCAACGTCCCAGAATTGGCTTGGATGGCATGGGAAGTGAACACAAGGGTTTCCTCTAGATGTTTCCTTAAACCCATTGATGGACGTGACATGATGGAAGATCCCA